CACACACACACACAAAATCAGTTTTATGTCTGTCAGTCTTTCTTTGTTGTCTGTCCTCCCCATGTTTTTTTTGAAGTCTTTTTTTATGTCTGTCAGTCGGTGGTTCCTCGTTTGGAGTGCCTTCTGCAGTCTTAGGAGGGCCGATGACGGATGGTCGTCACAGTGTCTCCCTGGCTCAATGGGTGGTGGGAACCAATAGTCTGCGGGGTTCAATCGTGATGTGAGTAGGTCATGTGTTGATTTGCTCCGTGTTGGATGTGTGGACGTCCTCGTCTGTGCTCCGCCGTTGCCCTGCTGCATGTCCCGCTTGCTTCGCATGTGGTTCCTTGCAGGTTGATGTGTTCGCTATGCGGTGTGGCCATGTTGTTGGTGTTGCCTTGCGCTTCGATGCCGTGCTGCTCATCCGCTGGCCTCGCCTTCCGTGTTTGTTGCTTGTGTGCCGTGTAGGTTGGTTGCCTTGTTGCTGGTGCCTTGTGCTACGCTCCACGGTTGTCGAGCTGCTGGTCCGCTCGCCCTGTTATTCCCTGAAGTGATGTTGCCTTGCTTGTGTTGTCTTGTGCTCCACGACACGGTTGATGCGCTGCATGCCCTGCGTGCTATGTCGTTCCTTGCAGTCGTTTTTGGCGTTGTGCATGCCCTGTGAATGTGTCAGTTGGGAGACGTGGTAATGTGCTCGGTGATCTCCAGGGAGGGAAGAAGAAGAAATGGGGGGCCAAGGCTGCAGCATCACCGACAGTTGGGAAAAGGGTCCGCTTGGCATCTGCTGCAATTGAGCTAAAGCCTGAAAGTCGTGCTCTCACTGAAAAGCGGAAGATGTGGGCGGCATCCGAAAGTTTGGCGGAAAAAAAAGTGCAGACAGTCCCTCTAGAGTTTCTCATCTCGTGTATGGTCAGACCGTCTGTCGATTGTCCGTTTGCCAAACGTTCTCGGGAGTCGAACCAGTATCACGTCAATTTGATCATGTCATCCATGGAGCGTTCCCCCATTGGGGACTACCTTCCTTTCGTCGGTATGATCGCAAAAGAGGAATGCAAGGGCAAGGATGACCTGGACATGGAGAGACTGATAAAAGGAGGTTACACTATTTGGATTGTAGGTGGTGGCCATGCAAGGGAAGCAAGATCCACATTGGCATAGATGTACCTAAGGTGGCATACTACCAAAAGTTCCTCTGCAATGTGTACATTGGCCTAACCGTCGAGGAATGTCGAAGGGTGGGGCATGAGCATAACTTTGCTGCAGGCTTACATAAGAACCTCACATTTATCCAGAAGATAAGATGCTGGCGTCAAGTCTTTGAGTCAATGGGGAAACTGAAGTCTGCTGAAGTAAAGAAAGCGTGTTTGGAGGAGATGGGCATAAGGGCGAAGACTTGGAATGACATAGCAACATTTGATTCTCATCTGCAGTGTTGTATGAGATCTGATGACGTTTGGTCGGCCATGAATGACGTCTTCATTCTTTGGGAGCAGGGAAAGGTGAAGGACATAAAGATGAAGAAAGGGAAGGGCGCAAAAAATGTCAAGCCATCGTCTCAAAAGGCTGGAGGTGATGGGAGAGATGTGTCCGGTGAAGGAGGGAAAAAGAAGAAGGGTGGCAGGCCGCAGAAGAAGCCTGAAGCCATGCATGCCAGAGGGCTATGTTGATGGCCCTGAATCCTAAGAGGCATGCAGGGCTATGTTGATGGCCCTGAATCCTAAGAGGTATGTTAATGCAAAAGATGAGATTGTGGCAGAGCCTGCTGATATGCCTTACACACCCTGGGTGCGGATGGGTCTCCTTACGGATGATGTTGGTTTGCCGATCATACTGAAAGTGAAAAGCCGTGAGTTGTCCGTGGAGCAAATGGAAAAGGAGTTCAAAGTGATGAAGAGGAGGGAACGGACAGTTGCAGCGTTCTTGGAAGGAGTACAACTTGATGACTGTGACGAGGCAAAAATTGTATGTCCAGTACATACGCAGGAGGTCGTACTTTCAAAGTGTTATGCTGATTATGACTGTAAGCCCAAAACGATGCCACAAAGTATGAAGATGTTTATACAACGAGCTCAGGCGTATAGGAAAAACAAGGAAAGGAAGAGGAAGGAGGAAGTTGCAACACGTGTAAATGCAGCTGATGTTGTAAGCATGCAGGAGGGTGTCCGTGGGCTTGAAAACCTGCTCGCTGATTGGACACCACTAGAGGGCAAGGACTATAATGGAGCGGTAAAACTTCTTCATTGTGATATTTTGGAGCTCCATAATAAAGTGAGTGAGAAATTGCCTTTCACTTTGGCTATGTTTGATTTTCCTTGTGGTTACAACATGCCGGGTGCAACAAATGATGATGAGCCCTTTAGCAAGGTCCAGGTTGTGGCAGCGCTGAAAAATTTCGAAGTTATTACAACCTCGCCATGTTGGGCTGCGACTTGCTTTTGCTTCAGAGCCATGTTGCCAGGAATGGAGGAGACCTTCAATACGGTCTGCAATGCAGGGGTAGAGGTCGTCGTTTGGGTGAAACCGAATGCAGCCAACCGAGGGGGTTTGCGACTTACCCACTGCTATGAGTTCATTATGATCGGGTTCTACAGTGAAACTGGAAAGCGTGAATTGACACAATTTAACTTTGAGGAGAGTGACCCTCTTCTTGATGTCATCAACTATGATGCAGTGACAAGGAAGTTCATCTTCGCTGCCGATGACCAGGTATTGTGCCCATATCACAAGCCTGTGCAAATGTACCGGTGGATCATTGATAGGTTCTCTGCACCGGACACGTACATCGTAGATGGCTGTGTTGGGTCTGGGACCGGGGCTGTGGCTGGTCTTTTATGCAACAGGAATGTTCTTGTTGTTGAGAGTGATAACCATTGTGTGAGAGGAATTTGTGCGAGGCTTGCAACAGACTTTGTGGAGGGTGCTAACAATGAGGTACAGATGACTCCTGATGGCAATCCAAAAACTGTACGAGGAACAACGGTATAAATAAAGGTTGTGGTATGGTCTTGGTGTTCACTAGTACTTGCCCATTGTAATTGTGCTTCCCTGTCCACTAAATTGCTTTTGGAGTTCTCTTTAGAGAGCCGATTTGTACGTTGACAAAGGGCAACTGAGTAGTGGTTCTGTCACAACAACCAACTTGAAAAGTGTCGTGGTTGTCAATCCTTTCATTTCATATGAAAAATGGTTTGGGCACTGCCAGCTAGTATGGAGAACAACGTCAAACCGTTGTAACAGTTTTGCATAGCCTCTTATTAGGAAAAATTGAATTTTTCCCCGTGAAAGGTAACATATGAGGATCCTAGTTTGTTTTCAATCTCAGAATCTCTTGTAGAGTCTTACCTGCCTCTTTGCCATAAGAACTTCAATAGGGACTGGGTAGCAACGAGTGGCTACCCATTGTAGATTGAGAAGGGAAACTCGAACAGGTTTTGAAAAGGAGCGGGGCGAAGATAGATGCCCAATCATTGGCAGTCAATGCTATTGGGAGGAAGGAACGGTGAACCTTAAGAGGAGAGTCGTACTGCATAGTAGGCGTTCCCCAAGGGTTAATCCTCTCAATGGGAGAGCAATCGATGCCATTGGGGAAGTCTAGAATGTTGTCTATGTACTTTCATCTCTTTCCTTGAAAAAAAAAAAAAAAGAAAAAAAAAAGGACAGGCAAATTGATCGTGAGTACACAAAATAAAATGATATAGTGACACTAATTAAGAGTCATTGACGCGTGCTCGTTGGGACGTTTGTCCACCCATTGTTGTGATCTACTTACTGCATCATATGTTTCTACTCTTCAAAGAACGAGAGAAAGATAGAGAGTGGGGGCACAGGGAGTATGTGTGTGTGTGTGAGAGAGACAGGCGGACAGCTCTCTCTCTCTCTCTCTCTCTCTCTCTCTCTCTCTCTCTCTCTCTCTCTCTCTCTCTGTGTGTCTGTGTGTGTGTGTGTGTGTGTGGAAACTGTGCAGCTCCTCCTCATCGTTATCGTCCTTCTAGTGCATAATTTTCCCTCATAGTGCTCCTCCACCCCCGCCCCTCGTCCCTCCTTCCCTGTCTCTCCTACTTCATTCCTCCCCCATCTTCTTTCTGCATTTTTTTATTTCGAAGTCCGATTAGCAGTTAATACCCTCCCCATTGGCCGTGTGCCCCTCCCTTGTCATTGGTGTGTTCCTCCCTCGTCTATTCCCCCCCTCATCCATTCCCTCCCTCCTTCGTTCCACCCCTCCCTTTTCCCTTCTCATCATGCTTGTCTTTGTTCTTCACTTCCCCCCTCCCTCATCTTTCCTCCATCCCTCGTCCCTCGTCAGTCCATCTTCCATCTCCTTTTTTGTTCGTTGATCCATCTTCCATCATGCTGTAATCGTGGATTCGCTTTCTGTTGGAGCAAGCACCTTCATCGGGTGGTCGCTGGTGAAATCGTTTCTATTTTCATTTGTTTTTTTAATTTCGT